TTCGAGCCGCCGAGGTCGACCTTTCAACACTCGACCTTGACCAGGACACGTTCCTCGCTCTTCAGCGATTCCAACAAGAGGCGGGCGACCAAGAAGATCCGTTTGCCCTTTGCTGAAGCTCTGGCCAAGACTGCTCAACAAGTTCAGAGCAGTGCTTCCAAGCGTATTCGTCATGGAAGTGATGACGGCAGCTCCGATGATTCATCTGAAGAGAAGACCCCAGTTCCATCTGGTCGAGCTAGCAGAGCAGGTTCGGCAGCTGATGCTGGCGAAGGATCGGCTGCGGCTGCTTCAAGTCCAACTCTCAGTCGCCGAGGTCTTCATATGCCAAAGGCTTGGAAGAACAAGCCGAAGTCCAAGCGTCAAAAGACTGCTTCGCGCTCGCCGGCTTCCGTTCGTTCACGCTCCAGCTACGCCTCTCGCCGCTCGACATCTCGGCCGCCTGCGTGTCCGCCCTCAGTGGCCATGCCAAATCGTCCGTGAGTCGCCCGAGGTATCATTCGCATTCGGTGTCAAGTTATCCGACCGTGTCTAAGTCTCCCGCATCTCCAACGTCCGTTCCTGCTACTCCTCCCAAGGCTGAGTCTTCGAAGGACGACCAACCTCCGGCAGTTGTGGACTTAACGCGAGATGAGAGTGACGAGGACATAGAAGAGGAACCGGTTGCGGTTCCAACGAACTCTGAGGGCACGGAGGTGACTCGCCAAGCTTCGCCGACTCCCCAGCAGCTCCCCAGCGCAGCAACGCGGCTTCTCCCTCGTCACGCACTCCTTCGCCGCCGGCTGATGCCTCCCCACGAGCTCCTACCTCTTACGAGCTCGAGATACAGTTATTATTTGGATCTGACGACGATGAGGATGCTCCAAGCGGTTTGAAGGCTCCCCGCAAACCTGAGGGGCTGACATCACCTTATCGCTCTTCCTCTGATGAAGATACTCCATCACCTCCCAAGCGTTCTGACAGCACAACAATCTCCAAACAACCATCGGCTCCGCTCCCTCGGTCTTTCGATTCTTCCGATAACGATGAGGGCGACACCGTTACAACATTGCGGGATACTAATATGTTGTAGAAGAATTTGTTTTTCTGCACCGGATATGTGTTAGCTGGATATGATTCTCCTGAACTTAGTGCTGAATTTTTTTTGCGTTAAAATGAATAATTTTGTACTAGTTTTGCGCAAAGTGTTGTGCCATATTGTTAAAATCCAGTCCGGTATTACACTTTACACAATATTGTACAACAAACACTTTTCGATACACACGGTGATTTCTCTAAAACTAGACATTGTTTTGTGATAAACTACGTCGGTTTAAGATAATGATTGCACCAATTTGAAATAGCTTCGTAATTTAATTACATCTGTGTTTGCATCTTTCTCAATAATCATATGAGTGATTATGAGAGGGCTAGAAAAGTTTATCGTAATTTTTTTTTCGTCCGGTGGATGCACCACCGTCCGATCTGGCAGGGGACCATCACCACGAAAGCTTGCCCACAGGCGGCGGATACGGGCCTCCAGTGGAGCTCGCTTGGAGACCGGAGTAAGAGGTCAAATCCTTCCATGCTGAAAAAAATGGATCCTCGGGAAGGAGCTGACGGTCAACTTGCATTGGGTGACTTGGGTTCGTGTAGTCGAAGAACGCGTTCAACGACTCGAGTGTGGCACGGATGGTCATATCACCTGGAGTAGGATCCGGCAGCGCAGTGCTCAGGACCTGCTCGAAGCACTTCTTGGCCCCTGGATCACGGAACTCGAGATCGAGGAACGGGCGGACAATGGGGGAAAACTCGCTGACGGTAACACTGCGGGCCGGGTACCGCGGACTGTCTGGTGAGTCATCGGTAGCCGCGTAGGAGGATCCGGATCACCACGGCGGTGATGAGAAGTGTACGTAGCG